CGATTTTAAAGTTTTATTTTAAGCCATAAGGATTAAATAGGCATACAAAAAAAAATTAAAATGGGCAAAAAAATCTATTTTACTGAAAAAAAAATTTATTCTCCACGATTTATATTTATTAACATAATAACAAAAAAATTTATCTTCAAGGGTTACAATATACTTAAACTTTAATTCGAGAGATATATTTTATAAACAAAATTGAATATGTAATCGTATTTTTTACAAATGTACAAGAGAATTTTTTTAAAACAATTTTTTCTGTGCTGATACTTTGTTTCGACATGTTATATATATAACATATTCGTATATAATAATTCACGCAATGAAGAGATATCCTATTTCTCTTTATCTTTCTTTCTCTTTTTCTTTCTAACGAGAACTCTTTCATTTTCGCACACTCGATCTACGCGATCTTCCGAACGCAATTATCGTCGGTTGCCCTTTATTTTTTTATTTTTTATATTGGAATGGATCATACTTGGTGCATGTAAATTCTGATAACGCTATTGGTAATGTATATACGTGTTATGCATGTATGTTGTGTCATGTTTCGTATATATACACGTTAAGTGCTTTGGATACGAAAGTAAATAGTCGGTCGATGAAAAAAAAATTATATCTTGTCGAACATAAAGTTCTTTTATTTCGCGCAATTTCGACAAAGCTACGATATATTTTAAATATCTACGTATAGTAAGTTGTTCTAAAACAAAGTGCGAAGTTCTTTCTTTTTTTTTCTTCTTCTTTTGTTAGGAACTTATAATACTGCTCGTGGTATTTACCCTGGACCAGTTTTATGGTATGTATTTCGTGATCTTATTTTTAATCTCTTTTCTTTTGAATTTTCAAACAAATAATTCTTGTCTATATTTTGAATTTTCCTTTCTCTATCGTTTTCTTTTTTTACTCGTCGTCTTAATAAATTCAAATTAAATTCAAAAGTCGAGAAAAAAGAAGATTTATGTATGTATAGACATACAATAATGTTTTTACAAATACGAAAATCAATTGAATTGTTAGGTCCAGCGTATTCTAGTCATTCATCTTACATTTTTCATGTTAAAAGTTTACTAGAGTTCACAACTGTAATACTTAAATACTCGAATTCAAATTCGAATTCTAGTTGAATCGGTGCTTCATATAATTATATACTTACTTATACGTGTTCATTGATAGAGAAGAAAAAAGAAGAAAAGAAAAAGAAACATTCGATTTCAAGCAAAGATGTTCGCCCTTTTATACATTTTCTTTTTTTTCCGAATGGAATGTCAGAGTGCACTTTCCACAAAATTGAATTTATTAACGTGTGTTTTGTGTTTTTACTTGTTGAATATATGTGTGTGTTATGGCCTTTAGTCGCACGATCTTGCGATTGTTTTCATCTACATAACTTATGCATCTCTCTCTCTTTCTTTTTCGCTCTTTTTTCTACGCGCATACTCTCGTCTAAACGCGTTTAGGAGATAAAATTATATAATACGCGAATAGACGACTGGACGTTCGTTGAATTTTCGCGAGGATTATGTTAGATCGGCATTTTTCTTTTGAGGAGTATGGGTCGACATGTTCAATATCTTTTCATTTCAATATTTTATCATAATTCTTGTATTTCCTCTTCGTATCGTTTTAAATATCTCCCATTTTCTATCTTACAAAGTAAATCGATCATACGCATAGATAGATAGTAATCTTGTTCTCTCATTCTCTTATTCGTTCGTTCGTTCTTACTTTTTCCCTCTCTCTCATCGGAATCATACTCGATCGAAAACACCTCTTCTTGTAGGAATCATATACTTCGTGCATTCGTCAGTTTCATTTTCTTTAAACCTATTTTAAAGATTCTTCATATCTTTTAGTTCTTTCTTTCCTTTCTTTTCTTTCTTTCTTTCTTCTTTTACTCTTCCTTATCAGCGAGCACCTATTTAGGATTTTAATATTGGTTTCTTTTATTTTTAGTTTTATCACAGATGTTTTGTTCTTCATCACATATCGCTCCATTTTATTCGATTCTCCGATTTTTCATCATCTTTTTTACTTTTTTCTTCTTTTAGCCCACTCACATCAGTATGACATACATTATATATGTATGYATGTATAATAATATCTAGCAACGGGATCCAAAATTGACATTGCCCATCCCTCTTGCTTGCTTGCATGGTTTAAACGTGGATTTATTACGTTTTCTCTTTTTTATTTTTAAGCCGACATGATTTAATCACAGCTCTCCTCCATTTTGGCGTTCTTGTGCGCGCGCTCAAGAGGAATTTGTTATTATTATTATTATTATTTAGTATTTATTATTAGTATTTATTAATATTATTATTTTTTTCCATTTTTTCGTAAGTTTTTTGTTTTACTTCTTCTTCTTCTTCTTCTTCTTCTTCTTCTTCTTCTTCTTCTTCTTCTTCTTCTTCTTCTTCTTCTTCTTCTTCTTCTTCTTCTTCTTNGTTTTACTTCTTCTTCTTCTTCTTCTTCTTCTTCTTCTTCTTCTTCTTCTTCTTCTTCTTCTTCTTCTTCTTCTTCTTCTTCTTCTTCTTCTTCGTCTTCGTCTTCTTCTTCTTCTTCTTCTTCTTCTTTAATCTTGTTTTTCTCGTAACGATCACGCACACTAAGGCCTGCCTTAGTACAAAAATATACATTCGCGTCTTAAAAAATAGATCTTATAGCATTCTGTACTGGCTAGCGTTCGTTTGATATTTTACATATTTTATGTATTTTGATTCTTGGCAGGCTGCTTAAGTTTAATTATCGGCTATGAGAGAACCATTATTAATTGAACCCTCAAAACGAGGAATACAATGTGTTTGTGTGTACGTGTACATGTTTTTTTTAACATGCATATTACGTGTGTATGCGGATTTCTTGGTTTTTTTTTTCGTTTTTACTTGTTCCGTATCGTTAAAAATTAGTTATACTTTGCGTAATATGCACTACACACAAATTTCCTTTATTTCATTGCTTTTTAATATCCCCTCTTGCTTAATCTTTCACATTGATCCATTTGACGTTGATAAACACATGCCTTAAATAGCTATATATATATATATAGCATTACTTTGTAAAATCTGTTAATTCGTGAAATGACTAGCTAAACTCTTAAATAATTATAGTGACCTGTTTATAAATATGAAAGACGGCAGAATTATATATATTATAGAATTATATTTTTTTTTTCAACTAATTTTAAGTAATATATAAATTTACAAGAGGCGAATAATTAAATAATTAGATTAAAATTTAGTTCCAAATATAGAAAAAACATTCTTCGTTGCAATACTTGTCTATATGGTATATATTGCACTGTTATAGATCCAGAGATAGGAAATGCGTGTTTCTTCATTTTAAGGTCTTCTAAACGAAGGTTATCTAATCTCGAAATAGAATTTCTCTATTAATTTAAGAGATTTAATTAGGTTTCTTTTAAAAACTATGAAAATAAAAATAAAATAAACGCGAACAATGAGTGCTTGTAGATCCGTTCTTATCTCTAAGAAGAAACACATTTTTTATCTCCAGATTTACAACATGTAGTATATCTAGGTATTGAAACGAAATCGAAGAACATTTTTCTTATACTTTGAATCAAATTTCAATGTCATATTTTAACTACTTGCCTCAAGTGAATTCATATATAATTTCCTTATTTCCTAAAATTACTAGTTTTAGTATATAATAAAATTTCTTTTATATGTTTTCCCAAAAATGCCTAGTTATTTTGGGTAAGACATTTCAATGATTTAATCGAGATATACAATTTAATGCTGATATATACATATAGATTAAATAAGAGAGGATATTAAGATGCAATTAAAAAGGGGAAATCTATGTGTAATGCATGTCAAGAAAAAGACAGTTAACGTTTAGCAATACGGAAAAAAGTAAAAACAAAAATAATACAAAAAATTACCATGCACACATATATTACATATACTATATTAAGTTTTTCCACCATCAAGCGAACCGGAAATGAAAAAAAGAAAAGGAAAAGAATAATAATAAGAACGCTGACAATGTTCTTAGGAGAATAAATAACCAGGGATTAATGAGAAAAATCTTGCTCTCATCTATCTCTCTTTTTCCATTGCTCTCTCTCTCTCTTTCTCTTTTTTCATTTTTTCCGCCTATTTGCATTATAGATACGTATAGGTCGTACGTGTTCTTTTATAAATATGATATCTCGATTGTTACACAACGTGCAGCTCGCTTAAAATTTCATGTATAATATGCGCATGTGTATGCATATTTTTGTTTAAATACACCTTTTTCAGGTAAGATCAGTCTTATGTTTGTTGTAAAATCGTCGCGCTCTATAATCAATAATACATACGCACGCTGTGTATCTTTTCGCGTTGTGCCCGTATTAAGCGGCTGCACGCGTGCGTTATTTAAATAATCTGTTTTTTCTTTTTCTTCTTTGTTTGTTTGTTTTTTTAACGCGCAGAGATGGTACTATACATTATTATCTAGTTTTATTCTTTTTTTCCTGCTATAGTTTCATCTTTACTTTTCTAGTTAATGTTTCTCTCTCTCTCTCTCTCTCTCTCTCTCTCTCGTCCTCACACACGCACACAATAGATAAATTTTTCGCAATGCAAACACAACACGCATGATCTTTTAAACATACATACGCAATTTCGACCTTTCTCTCTCTCTCTCTCTCTCTCTCTCTCTCTCTCTCTCTCTCTCTCTTTTACTCTCATTCATGGTCTCGCATGCATCGCACGCACGCGAGCATGACTTAGTTTTTTAAATAATATTTATAAACATGCGATTTCGAAGTTTTAAAAGAAAAATTAAACAAAAATTATCAAAAGATTAATCGTTAAATAAAGAAAGAAAGAAAGAAAGAAAGAAAGAAAAAGTATACACAAAAGAAGTTATAAGAAAAGAGAGAGGGGAAAAGAAAGAATGGCAGACTTTCGCGCGTTAAAATGGCGACTACGGGCGCGCGTTATTCGATTATTACTATACGAGTCTTATACATTTCTCACTACTTGTTAGCTTCTTTCTTTTTCCCTTTCACTCTCTCTCCCTTTCTCTATCTCTTTTTCGCGTTCAACGTTTTTACACATCGTACAATAGAAGGAAAATACAATTAATTAATTGTTCGTGCATGTAGTACGAAATGAAAGGGCTGTCACAAACGCATTTCTTCATTTATTTTAACCTCTAGTCATTTTTTTAATAAACAATTGGCTTCATTATTACCAAATGGTTCGCAAAAATTGTCTACTAAAGATTCTTTTATTAGATTTTTAGCGTGTACGTGTATGTTTCTTCTCTTTCTTTCTTTTTTTTTTATCGCGAACGTCGCGCGTCAAACGTTTCGTCAAAATTATTCTTACACCGCGACTCAGGTACATATTAAGGCCCGTTCATCTTGTATTATAGCGGCATCTTACATTTGTCTCTTACTTTCGTTTCTATATGTTCGCTTTAGAGGAATATCGTTCCTTCGCATACAATTTTATGCCTTACAATTGATCGAATTTTTCGCATGCGTGATGTATATAAACATATATACATACATACATATGTAAATACATATGCATGTATATAGATATTACACGTATTACAATTGCTATTCGCATTTCTTATTCTTGATTTTACTTACATACACATAGTGTTTTAAGGGGGCACATTATCGCGGCTTTTCTTTTGCATATAAGTGTGGAAATACTTCTGCTTTGATTTGATTTTCTGTTTTCTTTTCTTTTGGTTTCTTTTTTTACTTTTTTTCTTCTTTTCGTTTAAAGATTTCGACGCATGAGGTGTATGTACAGGATCACATGTAAAAAAGAATGAAATATAATACGTGACTACAATGTACATACGACAACGTTAATAAATATACAAGGATTTGAAAAAAAGTAAATCGCATCTCAGAATAGTATAACTATATATACGTTGGTTTCTTTTCTTTTTTTTTTTCATTACTTGTTTTCTTCTTTTTTTACTTATCATTTTGTGTTATTCCACCCTTTTTCACGTGTTATATTATATATGGCTTCTTTGTAAATAACATTCAAAATCATCACCATTATATTTTAATCGCACGATAGAAATGCGAGTGCTTTTTATCGCACCCAAATATTAAACGTTAAACTTCGATAGATTAGTAGTACAGATATACTTACATATATACATACATACATATATATATATATATATATATATATGTATATATATACGATTAGTAGAGCTATTATCTTCGATCATCGTTAGATAACTATATACTTCTGTATTGGCGTTCGCTAAGAGCATGATGGAGAAAAATGGTACATACGTACAGAACAAACGATTGTTGATCATAGTTTATATGATATACACACATATTACCGTACGATATTCTGTATGATTTATCTTCCTTGGCTATATCTCTTGTATGCATGTGTATATATATAGATATATATTACTTCACCGACTTCAGCGTGCGCGCATTCATGTTAAAGCATTTTCTCTAACTTTTTTGTCTTCTTCATATCTTTTCTTTTTTTCTCTTTTTTACAATTGCGTCCGATTGGTTTTGGTATTAAAAATAACCTCGGAACGCTGTTCGACTTCTCTTTATTGAGTTTGACTCTGTACCTCCTGTGCCTTTAATACAAACTACGCAATACTCTTTTAAAAGTATGTATATTCTATCGAGTTGTTTTTAAATATTTCTCTTAGTATAGAGTCGCACAGTATGCTCTTAACGAACGCTTGGCACCTCCCTGTTTTTCTTTTTTTATTCTTATCTACATTCATTTTCTTTCAATGGATTGGAAAAATATCCGTTAAGAACGACACTTCTCTCTTCTACTTATACACATAAACGTTTCTGGAATTTTTGTATTAATTAGTTTTCCTGTGGAAGATCACGAGATCGTACCTCTCTACCTTTTTCTCTAAATAGTTTTATAAGGAATTTCTCTCACGTCTATCTCATAGATGATCGTCTTTCTTCTTCAAATTATTTACTTTGGCTAATAAATATTATCTGTAATGATACGCTACAACATTAGGTATACGTCAAAAATGCTATTCTTGTAGCCTGACCTTGACGTTTTCTTCTTCAATTTTTGGTTAGATTTAACCTAATTCTCATATACACCACCAAGGTACTGAGTTATATCTACACGAAATTTACTTATTATTTTTCTTCACAGGGGTATCGATGATATTTACTTGGGTGAGAGGAACGATCAGTATAAAATAAAGATCGCGGTGAGGATATATACCTGATAGTTTAAGATTATCATTGTCAATATAATGACGCGATTCCCTGCATAGTTTCCCCAACGAAGAAAAATCACAGCATAAATTAAGTCATTCCTACCATCCGTCGTAAGGATTATAGAAAATCGTTTTCTTTCTCTTTCTCTCTCTCTCTCTCTCTTTCTAATTTTATCTCTATCTCTCTTTCTCTCTCATAATCATTGTAATTAATATTACATTGTAATTTGCGTTCAATTTGGACGTTTCGTCGTTAGAAAGACACGAGAGGTAGGTTTATTGATAGAGAATTGGGGATTGATCGTGTACTATACATCGGTAATCGAGCTTAAGAACATCGATGATCCACGACGATCCATAACACCATTAACTATGTATTTCTTCCTTGGTTGTGCCACAAATTTAGTTTTGTGCATATAAGGAATAAGTCTTCCTTTAAGGAATGGTTTCAGATAAAACATGATCGTTAAAAGAGGAACATTGATGCACGTTAAACTCGCAAACGTATAGCGAAATTGTAAATGCGAGCTCCGTATACATATCACATCCATAGAAGAATTGGTAATATCACGGCGCGATAGTATGGTACGACTATTTTCATCCTCTTCGCTACTTAATAAGTTACATTTAACAACTAGCTGACGGATGGCAGTATGCGTTAATTAGATTTTGGACTATTAACTCATTATACGTATTCACCGCGTTGTGTACAAAAAAAAATCTTATAGAAAAATAAAGAATATAACTTTACAGTTGGTACTTCTGAAAATGTTCTCCTTCCATAAGTGGTCGTGGTAGTTAGTGGTTAGTCCTTGGATGACATTTTCTTGGCATTTTTTTTGGAAGTTACTTCTCATCGCAGAGGATAAACGGCATAATAACCTCCCTGCTGTCACCAGCAAACGGATTTAACACTACTGTTGGTAATTCTTTCCTACTTAAAGGTGACCAGTGTCTACCCATTATCTCTTGTATTTCCTATAATACAAAGATAAATTATTATTATTAATTACGCCATTAAATGAAAAATAACTCATTAATAATTAATAACAATTACTCACATGATTAATGGCATCAGTTTTGTGCCACGATTCGCTGTCAGACGCAATATCACTTTCTGCAAATATAAGATGTTCGAGTTTACTTCCTCTGAGACGTGCGATGGCTAATAGATTCTCTTGGTAATATTTGTGTCCTATCAACACTATTTCCACGAGATTAGTACACTTCCAAGCCACGAATACTAGAGGATCTGGGCTGTAATAGATTTAAAATTAATTTTACCTTTTATTTTCATTGTTTATTTGCATTGAAAATACAATGCAAATTAATTACCTATCTGGCTCGTTAGGGTCGTATGTAGCAGGAGTATTTACCGTTGTATCTATAGAATCTATCCATATGAGAGATTTGAATGTATCAAAATACCAACTTGATAATCGATGTAGTACCTCTATATTAAATTTTTCACAGAATAATATTTTTAATTGTGTAAGAGGCATAGCAGGTTGAAGAATTTCCGAATGTAATACTTGTACACCAAGGTAAGAATGTATGAGATTTAGTCGTAACTCACATTTGGGACTAAAAATAATTTTGATTAATATTAATCGAGTTAATGAGAAACTAGTTTTTGGTAAAATAGTAATATTTTATAGAATTGCATAATCTTACTTCTTTTGAACAAACAGTTCCCAGCCTGCATTTGATGTTCCTAAGTAATCAGTATGCCAACCATGTACATGTATTACTAGCTTTCTCATGGTGCCACTGTCTAAAGCTCTGAGTAAGGCATCATTAACAACGTCATAATCTACTGTTAAAACTGTCAATCTAATAAATGATTTAAAATTATATTCTTCCAATTCTATAAAGTCATAATGCTCTGGATCATCTTTGACAGATGCTAAACTAAGATGCGTTAAATGTTTAGCATGATGTAAAATTAATGGTTCTAAAATTAAATCAGCATTTGTTGCTAACTCTTCTATGTATCCTAGACTCAGAGCTTCCAAATGGTTAGATCTTTCAATAATTTTCGCAATGGATTTCATTAAAGACACACTGTTTGTTGGACTAGAAAAATTTTTAAAAAAGGTCAGATTTACATGTATCTTTTAAATATTTGTAAAACAATATTTTCATGATTCTACCTGTCAGTCTCGCTTTCCATGTACCAATTAGTACGTTCACATATGTTACTACTATATTCCAAGAATAATTTTCGCAATTGCCTATTACAGCTTAATTTTTTCAGGATATAAGAAGTTTCTACAATATGACTTGGTATGTCACATTTTATGGTTGCTTCGTGGACACTAAGTCCAAAACTATCTGCCAGACTCCTATAAAATTGTACAATTCAAATGTATATAAGATTGACATTATAAATTTATCATTAACAACTTGTATTACCGACCTAGACCATAAAATACTATCACTGTCTTTCAAAACAAAAGTGATTTTTCTCCAGAAACTCGGATGGAATAATGTAGTTCTCCAATTTCTACACACCTAAATAAATTATTACAAGTGCATTAGATTTGCATAAGTTATACAAAATTTTACAATGGACATATAGATATATATTAATATTTTAATAAGTATGTCGTGCGTGTGTGTAACGACATTATATTCATATTGACTCTTAAAATATTAGTAATTAGAAAGAAATTTTGCGTGACAAGCATTTAACCGTTGTAGTTTATATACAATGAATAGAAAGGTCGAGTTTCGTAAACATCAAACGGCTATGTGAAATATAATCGTTTGATTACCTACTGTGTCAGTTGATAGGAGAAAAAAAAACAAAAAGTAAAAGTATACCTGAGAGGCTATTATTCTGTTCTCATGAGACAAATATGAAAATATTTCTTGCAAAATGACACAAGGCAGATTGCTCCAACAGGAATTGTTATCCTCTTGTTCCATTTCCATAGTACGATTAGGAGCTATGCAAGGCGAACAGCTGTTTGCCTTCATCGAGGATAGCTGGCTCTCGCACTTTTTTGCCTCTTCTACTGTGTCACTTTCTTCGTGGTGTTTTAACTTTTCCAGCCAAATTCCAGCTTCATTTCCGGCGTGTAGCATTTTAAGCCACTCGCTGGTCATTGTTATCTTTATTTATCTGGCTAAATCCTATTCTATAGTTCCTATCCGTTGTATTAGAAACTAATATCCAAACCAAAATACGAACAAGATATTGCGTTCAACTTGTAACTCCCAGCCGCACCACCGTTCCTATAATTGTGTTGGATTGTGTGTATTCTTTCCAACGATTCTCTACAAAACTCTCGTATTTGATTGGTCGACGTTCTACGCACACGTTAACTGAAATATGTCATTTTAAGCAAATCGTTTAGATTTTTGTTTTATTGTTTTTTCTTATTTCGTAATATCAATGAAATGACACATTTTTTAACATTATAAAATTATTTCCACGTATTATTGTGGAAATTTCTTAAGGCAAATTGTACGCATTTATATATATTTTGTATGGTATAAATCCAAAGAGTAGATTACTTTATGCGCAATATTTCGCGCGTAGCACTCACACGCGTTCTGTCATGTCATTTGTATTAAAAGCTATCTTTGAACTTGACCAACATTCATACGACGTAGAACTTTTAAAACGATGATCGAGCTAGATCCCAATCTTTAAAAAGTTATAATCAATATAGTTCTGTTGCAGATGTGCAAATTTCCTGATTGGTGTATTTAAATGATCCAATTGTTGGATATATTGTGGCCTTTTAACAGGCTGAAAGGGTCGAAAAAATACTCGTACGAGAAATGTCAAAATGGCGTCTTCTCAGGACGCTTGGTATCTATCGTTGCTAGGTTTAGCTGAAAATTTTCGAACGTCGAACCCACCGAATATTAAATCATGTATTCAGTGTCTTCAAGCTGTATTTAATTTCAAACCACCACCTCGGGTCGAAGCTCGTACTCATTTACAACTTGGGAATATTCTGCTTACCCATACAAAAAATATCGATTTAGCGCGATCGCATCTAGAACAAGCGGTAAGTTTTTGGTCAAAACTTAATTTACTTTTATATTCACTACTTATTCTATTAAAGAATTTTTAAATAGTCCTCCTTCTTACATAACCTATTATTTATTTTGAGAACTACATAACAATGATTCCTTTTCTAACCTCTTTGTATGTTTTGATAACAATATTATATATGTTATTATCAACAAGCGTTTACAAATATTTTCAAATGAATATTATTTTCAGTGGCGTTTAAGTCAAAATATAAATACCTTTGACGATGTTAAATTTGAAGCAGTAAGTGTAGTAGCTGAATTGTACGAGCAACAGCAACAGCCAGCTTTAAGTAAACCGATATTAAGAAAGGCCATAGAACTATCTCAGCATAATGTTTATTGGCACTGTAGACTTATATTTCAATTGGCGGTAAGTTTAATAATAAATTGTGTATTGTTCATAATATATCATATTAATTTTTTATGTTATTTGTACTTTTAGCAAATACACACATCTGAGAAAGATTTTGTAGCAGCTAATGGTTTACTGAGCGTTGGCGTTGATTATTCACATCTTAGTAATGCAAGCTATACGCGTGTATTATTTTTATTAAGTCGATGTATGGTCTTATTAATAGACAAACAGTTTACCGAAGTTAATGCACTTTTAAATTCGGCTGGTCATCATGTTGAAAATTGGCAAGGAAGTTCGTACCAAAAAGAATACTTGAAAGTATATTATTTGGTACTTCAAGTTTGTCATTTTCTTATGGCTGGACAGGTAATGACTCTAAGTTATTATTATTATTATTATTTTTATTATTTATTCATTATATTTATTAACTTACCTTATATTAAATTTTTATTATAAAACAGGTAAATAGTGTGAAGCCTTGTTTAAAACAACTACAACAAAGTATACAAACAATCATGTCTCCTAACTGGCCAACGGATGATGTAGTTACAGGTTCTAATATAGGAGATATGTTCATATGGATGCCAAAGGATCATTTATATGTTTTGGTTTATCTTGTAACTGTTATGCATTCGATGCAAGCTGGTTATATGGATGAAGCACAAAAATACACAAATAAGGCTCTTACTCAAATTGAAAAATTAAAAAGTATTCATATAAATACATTACAAATTTTTGTGAAATTCATTTGTACGATGTTTGCAATTTTATATAATTAATTTACTTAATTATCATGTTTTGATTCACAGTCGTTGACAATAAGCCGATACTCTCTGTCTTTCAACTCATGTTATTAGAACATATAGTTATGTGTCGTCTTGTTATGGGAAATAAAAGTGTAGCACTTGCGGAAATAGCTCAGGCATGTCAACTTTGTAGGCGACAACCAAGATTATTAGAAGCCCATCGACCGCAACTGCATGCTCTTTTAGGATTATATGCGATGTCTATGAACTGTATGGAAGCTGCTGAGGGTCAATTTATGGCTGCTCTTAGGGTCAGAAAATAAAATAATCAAACAAGTTATAAAGTTATAAAAATATCAAAATTATAGAATGTCCATTCAATAGATTATAATAAATAATTTGAATATATAAAGCTATGATTATGATTATGAATTATGAAGAGCTAGTGTTGATATATATATATATTATGTACCTTAAAATTTGCATGTGTGTGTTAGAATAATATGGAATTATATGTTATAGACATCTTCAGAACGAGATCTGTGGACATTTGCAAATTTAAATTTGGCTATAGTATATCTCAGAACAAAAAGAGACACAGAATTGGGTTCTTTAATGGAAAGAATAAATCCAGAAGCCTTGCAATCACAGTCACATTCCTTAAGAGCAGCAGCATACTATGTTCAAGGTCTTCAAGCTTTTTTTGGAGCTAGACATAATGAAGCCAAGTACGTAATTTGTAATCAAATGTAATTAAAGTATCTAAAAATGTACATTCTATATCGATTAAAAATTTTGTTTAGGAGATACCTAAGAGAAACATTAATAATGGCAAGCGCAGAGGATTTAAATAGACTAACTTCTTGTAGTCTTGTTTTGTTAGGACATATATTTCTTTCATTAGGAAATAGCAGAGAATCTATGAATATGGTAACACCGGCTATGCAACTTGCTTCCAAAATACCGGATGTGCATGTACAATTGTGGGCTAGTGCTATTTTGAAAGGTATAATTGAATATAATTATTTTACAATACATATAAATAAATATGATTTTATATATTTTAATTTATCTTAAACATTTTAGATTTGTATAGAATTTGTGGGGATACTAATCGTGAACATGATGCATATCAAATGCATTGTTCATTTTCTCAAACTCTTTTGAAAGATCACTTTCAAAGTACACAAATGAGTGAACATGCTCTTATTCAATGGACAGAGGGTCCCATACCTGTTTTGCCAAATGACCCACCACCTTCCACATCTCAAACAATTCTTCAATAAAATTAAAAAATACCAATTTTGCTTATTTACTTAAAGTATATGGTTGTTAAAATGTGAAAGTATGTCAGATTTGCGTGATAGTGTTGCTGAATGGTCATTATGCAAAAAAGGGAAAAAAACTAATAGTGCAAAACTTAATACATAAAAAGTAAGTTTGTTATATATTTAGAATTCATTTCATAGAGTGATATGTGTTGATTCTATATTTAATATGGAAAAGTTATTTAGACTATCAGAAGGGCGTTTGAATTATTATTATTTTTAGAAAAATGTAATATCCTTTAGTATAGTTTTCTTCTATAACATCTATTTCAAATTTAGACTATATAAACAGAGAAAAACTCACATCCTGATAAAACAGATGTAAAAAAAATTAAAAAAAAATTGGTTAATTTTAAATTATAGATATTATTTCAAGTGAATTTAATGGAATATTACATATAAGATATTTTATATATGTTAGATATATTAAACTTAGAGTAGTTTTACTTTTTATTAATACAGTAAAAAACAATAATATTTTTATCATTAATTTTATATGTAGCTTGCTATTATGCTAAAAGAATTAATGTTATTATATTTTAATTTTTATTAGAAAGAGATTTAGTTTTAGATCAAATATGATTAATTATTGCAGGGTTAACATGATAACATCATACCAAAGTAAAGTAAGTCAAAATAACATTGATAATGACAATGATAGAAATGATAATGATCAAGATAATCAATAATTGGTAAACATTGCGATTACCAGAATGACTGATGAATGTTCTCTGTATTAGTTTTATTCAAAATGAAATATAATTTATTTTATATAATGGTAAAAATGTACAGTGAATTTTAACAATTTAAGATAAATATTTTAATAAATTTCTTATAGAACTTTGTAAATTCTATCTTTTCTCTGATAGGAAAAAGAGTTTTATAAAATAAGAAAATAATATATTAATTAAACTCATTTTGAGCATTAATTTCATTTCTTAATACGAATTTAATCGAAGAACATCTTATTTATTTTTTCAAACGCTTTTCTGAAATTATCTGTATTGCAGCTTTTTCCACTATTAAATATGTGATTTTATTTTTATTTTTTTGCAGTCTTTATCTTTTTTCTTTTTTTTTACTACACCATGTATCTGATACATATCAAGATTCAAAAATTGTATGTGGTGTAGTTAGTAGTTGGCAGAATGACAATAATGTATTTTGTTTTAATCTCTTCTGGTATGTTTATTAAAATAGCCATTAAAACTATAGGCTGTGGTGAAAATGGATGGTTAAGATATAGTCACGGATGCATTTTTGTAAATTGGAACATAGTTATACCTTGTATAACAGTACCTGCAAAATATTTTGTAAAAAAGTGTTATAGTACTTATAGCATATATTAAATGCGTACAAGAGCGCATGTATCTTGTGTGGTAATTCTTGTTTAATACGAGTTCATATATGTATGTAGGGTAACTATTACTGCACATAATATAATATAATATAAAATATATATATATATATATATATCGATGTGCAAATATTAATTCTTGGATTATATATATAGTCACTCTTTACTAAAAAATTAAATTAAAATGTTCAATCGATAGGAATTGCTTTATATTCCACTAAAATATGCTACAGTATAGAAGTATGCAAATAAATATTATAATAGCAAAAAAGATTAAGGGATAGGTTATTAGAAGCAAGATTATAAATTACAAAAGAACTTGATCAGTGCTAATACAAGCAATACATAAACATAGTGTACGGGGCCTTAGTAGACTATAAGAAGTGATAAATATTGCCTAAAACTACTTACTCCAATAAATTAAATGTTCGTCATGTATATATTCTCAAAATTATAAAATTGTATTGAGTATGCTATATATAAATGAAAATATAATTGAAACCATAAACTAGAAACATTATGTAAAAATATTTCTTGGTTTAATGTAATTAAAATGTAACCAAATAAGTTGTTTATTAGAATCGACTTTTACTTTCTAGTTCCTACATTATTAAGTTTTAGTTTTTAATGTGGTTACAAAAAAATACATATAGAAAAAGCAATGTATCTAAAGGATAAATTTATTACAAAATCATTTATCATAAATGAAATTAAGATATAATGCATAAAATCTTTGTATTTTCTTTTTTATTAGATATATAAAGATATTTTTGTTACATTTAAGATAAAGAAGCTAAAATACAGTTACAGTAAAATTTAGAAATATACTGCAAGTTTTAACTTATTAATTGTATAGCCTATAATTTTTAATAACTTATATATTTATTACTACAGTTGCATTATTTTGTATACATTACTTTCTATACCAATTTTGTGTAATCTTCATTCTCTTAATCTTCTTCTGTAGTTGCAAGATTCCATATAACAATGCTTCAGCAGTGGGAGGACAACCTAAGAGAAATTTATAAATTAATAAATATATATATATATTTATATAGAATAGTATATTCATGACTTTATCCATGGCTACTTAAAGAATTTTTACCAGGTACATATATGTCAACAGGAATAATTCTATCACATCCTCTAACAACAGAATAACTGTAATGATAATATCCACCTCCATTCGCACAACTACCCATTGAAATAACCCATCTTGGTTCTGGCATTTGATCATATATTTTTCTTAGTGCAGGAGCCATTTTATTGGTCAACGTACCAGCAACTATTACAACATCTGATTGCCTAGGTGATGCTCTGAAAACAACACCATACCTATCCATATCATAACGAGGTGCAGCAATGTGCATCATTTCTACGGCACAACATGCTAAACCAAATGTCATTGGCCAGATTGAATTTTTGCGACCCCAATTTAAGAGATCATCTACTCGGGCTAAAGCATATTCAATTCCATTATTGGTGTTTTGGAAAGGACTGTATGGTTCTTTCTTTGGTTTTTGTGGTAATGATGGATCAGATTTTTGAACTGCAGTACTCAATTGTTTAGCCAAATTTCCTGTAACAACAGGAAATGGCAGCATAGCTCCATTATTACGAGCAAGGGACAGCAGTCCTTGCTGTAAATTTTCTAAAAAAAAGAAATGATGTCAATAAATATATATGATAAAAGAGTGTATTTATCAATAAATGAATTTTTTATATAAATATAAATAGATTTAAAAAAAAAACATGAAAAAATCATGTGTAAGTAATATTAGTTATTTTTTCATGTTAATATAAATTTGTAACATCTGGTGCAAAAATCGATAAGTTTATTTGTAAAATGGGTGAATAATGTTGCAAAAGGTTTCTCAACTTGTGTATGAGATTTGTATAGATATGTGACAATACTTTCTACTTTTCTATATGCACATATCATGTAACACAGTTACAATGTTAACACACTTGCATTTAAAAAGTTGGACTAAAATAAAATATAATGAATTAAAGTTTACATTGTGAATAATATTAGATATGTCTTTAAATATGTGTTAAATAAAAATATATCGTGTAAGAATAACACCAAATATAGGTTATGTACGATGTTAAAAAGTTTTTTATGTGTAATTGTGCAAAACTCACGATTGAAAGCTATAGAACGGATCATCGTCATAACCTTCATTGCTTCACAAAGCTGTCTGCTACATTTGATCATTGATGGTTCACTCAATATATAGAATCGTTGTGCCAACTACCGGTAGTCTTTAGTACTGTGATCGCTGCATCGCTTGTAAGCAAGTTCAAGCCATACAAGATAGTTAATTTGTAGGTTGTTTCAGTTCTTTCTGAAAAATTTTACCGTTATGTTCTATAAGTAAAAGTAAAAACAATGTGTTTTATAACCATGGGCTTTTAAATGATTTATTAACAATTTATAACAAAAATAAGAAATAAAAGAGGGCTGCTTTCTTGTTTGATACTATATATGAATAAATTGTCAGTTTAAATTATAATTCCATTTAAAAATTTTACCCGTTATTATGAATGCAGGACTGGTATCTACAAAGAATATATAATAATTTATTTCATTATTAATTTTTTTTCATTTTATTTAATTGGAACCAATACGTCATGATTCCTTAACGTTAAACATGCGCAATAATTCTCTCAATCAAAAATAGTAGGGATGTTAATTTACATGTTAAGATACGTTATTGAGGATGAAGCATTGAAAAATTAATTAATTTTTTTTATTCTTATCAATTTAAGACAAGTTTTATATCCTATTATTAAAATATACTAGAGGCTTTTTTATGAAAATGAGTAATTTATGTTATATATTATATTCTAATATTACGCGTGACTATTTATATATTTGTTTTATAATTTAATTTTATACATGTAATCGCCTACACATAATACCTTGCGTACAACTCTTTGCGCACAACACTTTGCGCGGAATGTTTTTCTGTCTCACTTCATTGACTAACTTAATAGAGCCTGGCGATATAGTACTACTATATACATATATGGGTTATGTTGAAAAGAGAGTTTTAATTATTTCTAATCGTATTAATGCTGAATGTAAGTATTTTTTTATTTCAACAGAGATACTATAATTAAACAATGAACATGTGAGTGCATCATACAGGATATGAAAAAAAAACAAGATTTCGAGTAAGTTCTTTATAGAATATTTTTTATTTGCTCGGTTCCTGTTTTATACAAAACATCTAACAAGCACAGATGCTTGTCACTGAAGTGCTTTTAAAGTCTGTCTTTTACGGAAGCAACTAATCTATCGACTGCATTTATCGAACGAATCATTTGTCACTTTTCTCGTTGGATATGCTAAAAAGATAACTCGCGCTTGTGATCATATTTGTGTGTATAAATATGTGTTTTAGCATATGAACGCGAGTGTGTTGTATGCATGTATGTTTGTAAAGGAGTGTGAATATGTTTGTATGTTAGTATGTGTGTTGTCTGTGATGTAAGTGTGAATGTGCTTGTATATATGTATTTAAATGACGCATTTCATCATTCGTAATCGTCGATCTTAAAAGTTCGTAATAAAACGTGGAATTAGATACTTTAACACTATGCAAAATAAAAAATATTTTTAATCAGAGGACAAGAGGGCTGCCAGGGGAGGAATGGCGAGAGGGGAGAAGGTGCGTGCTAGGCCATATATAATTAATTTCATAAGTTCGTGGTTTCATATTTTTTCGTCGCGCAATTCGATTATATACAAATAGAATCGACCCTGAAATTCGTCGCGTTAAAACTCGATGTATTCAAAATAATATTATAAACTTTATTAAAGAAGAAATTGTTAACATCAACGTTAATGAAAATAGAAGCATTTCTCGATTTTTCCGCGCGATTCGTGCGGAACATTATGCGAACCATAGAGAAACGCGCGAAATTGTTTTTTGGAAAATTCGAGGAAAACCGAAATAGACGCTCGCGTACTAAGTACGGTGCGACCTGTAGCACGTTTACCTTCTTTTTGTTTTCCCTTAACCTCTCATGCGTGTGTGTATTATACGATATAGCTTTCTGTTAAAAATTTACTTAGCGAACGCTCGTTGAACGGTTTTCCGGTCAACGTCTAGTTAACAGTAAGTAACAACTTATATTTCGGCAACAATAACAATTTCACCTTCGGTGATCTTCCAATTGGAATTTCGCTACCAACGTGTCAGCTATCTGGCATGTACTTTACAAATATCTAAATGTATTGTATATATATATACATATATATATATATATATATATATATATATATATATATATATATTAGCTTATCTTAAACATTCCACAATTTTGTGGGGGTAACGGCTTCTTTGTAACGCATTACGCTTGATTGGCGTTACTTTAACTCTTTTAGGCATTATATATTTGTTTTTCTTATTTTTCTTTCTTAGCAGGTCAATTTTAAATAAAAGGAAAAATTTTGTATCTTGGAAAGAAATAGAGGATAAACGCGTTAACGTAGATAAATCGACGTTACAAAGAAGTCAATAGTTTATTAATCGCTCGTAAACTTACAGCAAAATGACGGCACTAGCAGGACGTTTACAGCTCAACAAGATATTTCTCTATATTAACTTTGCAAAGATACTATGATCTATGTTAAAACGTGACTCTCTAGGAATGGTATGTGGTGTAGGATTTGTTTTCTATGGACGTCTCTATACTGAAACGATGTTCCTTATTCTCACGCAGACTCGTTATTTTGTGCGACGTTCCTTTGTTCCATTCTCGTATTCTCTTTCTCTTTCTCTCTTTTTTTCTCTTTCATTCAACCTCTCATTTTATTACCAATTACTATCATCACCGTTGAAACAATTTTTTCTTGAGAATCCATCGGTATTTTTAATACGAGATCCGGCTGCAAGATTAGTGTACCGATCGAATTTTTGCTAAAAACCTAATTTTTACGTATATTTATGATTAAGAGAATATTTATCTATCAGATTTTCTATCAAAATGTGGCCGCTAGTATTTTTAATTAAATTATTGTTAATTAATTTTTGAGAAAAAATTCACTCACTTGGTTTTTGAATAAAATATAATCCACTTTACGGCAATATATTTAAAGACTTTGAAAAATCACGATTGCCGCTGCGCACTTGACCGCACCTCTTGCAGTCAGGTGTAAACAGGTATGATTTTGATATATTTATACATTCATAATGAACATTTATTATTTATATATCAAATTAAAGCTAATTTTTTTCTGTTTATTACGATATACAATTGCTTAATTAAATTTGGCCGCAAATAAGGCTTGCCGGGTGTTAAAGATGGTAAAAATTAAAGGTAGAGTGAGAGAGAGTTATCGCGCAACATCACTTGTCAGACAAGGATAGCGATTGCCAGCTGCAGGACACTTTAAAGCCACTGCGCATGCGTCGAGCGCTAGTGTTCTCAACTGAATAGCTGCGACATTACTATTCTAACCACGCTGTCTTGAAGCTACTGTTTGCACCGGTGATTGAGAACACTAGTGTTCGACGCATGCGCAGTGGCTTTAATGTGTCGTGCGGCTGGCAATCGCTATCCTTGTCTGACAAGTGATGCTGCGCGATAGCTCTCTCTCTCACTCTATCTTTAATTTTTACCATCTTTAACAGCCGGCAAACCTTATTTGTGGCCAAATTTAATTAAGCAATTGTATATCGTAATAAACAGAAAAAAAATTAGCTTTAATTTGATATATAAATAATAAATGTTCATTATGAATGTATAAATATATCAAAATCATACCTGTTTACACCTGACTGCAAGAGGTGCGGTCAAGTGCGCAGCGGCAATCGTGATTTTTCAAAGTCTTTAAATATATTGCCGTAAAGTGGATGATATTTTATTTAAAAACCAAGTGAGTGAATTTTTTCTCAAAAATTAATTAACAATAATTTAATTAAAAATACTAGCGGCCACATTTTGATAGAAAATCTGGTAGATATATATTCTCTTAATCATAAATATACGTAAAAATTAGGTTTTTAGCAAAAATTCGATCGGTACACTAATCTTGCAGCCGGATCTCGGACTATTTGTACAACAACACAGAAACGTGCTTAATCTCTCTCTCTCTGTCTCTCCCTCCCTCTGCCTCTCTCTCTTTCTTTGTTATTTTTCCTTTTTTATTTTTTCTCTTATGTATCGCGATCGCGTACACGAATAATTCTACTTATTAGCGGTAAAACAAAATTCGAAGTTTTCGAAGCGTGTTCTTTAATGATTCATTCTGCGTATCTCCATGGCCGCGATGTCGTCCACAGATATAAGCTTCTCTATAGGAATGCAAGACAGTTCACCACCGACGCATGACTGAGGTTGTTGCCATCTAGCTTCCCTTTCTGCTTCTTTAGCTTTAAGTTCAGCCTCTCTTGCTCTTCGTTCCTTTAATTTCAAAGAGAAAATTGCGACCGAGCGTGCCCTCTTCATGAGACTCTGTTTTACTCTCGTTTTCTTTGCTTCTCGATCCTCCCTATTTGGTTTTTCTTCCTCTTGGCTGGAAATGGTCTTGCTCGAATCTGACAAACCGCCAACACCCAAATCCTTTTCTTTTTCGGGAACGTACGCTTGTCGATCACGATGTTCGTGCGCTGCTTCTCTTTGCTGATGATGCTGATAATATTGCTGTTTCTCAATCTTTTCTCGTTCTTTCTCTTTCTCTGGCGAGAAACGGAACTTTGGATTTCTGTGAGTTATCACCCACGGTGGTGCAGACCTTAACGATCATAAAAAAATAAAAATTTATCAGTTATAAATGCAAATTAAATTTTCCCTAAAGTCTCTTGTTTTTTCTTGTGTTAGTAAATTTTATATGTACGATATTTTTTTTTGTCCTATTACGTTTTTTTATAGAACAGAATGGATCGTATATAACTAATTGTTAGTAAAATAACATGAAATAAAAGATATAGTGCATATAAATCTTATTAATAAGAAAAAAAAAGAATCTCGATATATCTAATCTCTAATTCGTACTTTAATAGATCACTATCTGAGGAAGAAGCTAAATCCTTTGAAACGATACAATCGGTTGATCTATGGAGTGTCAATTCGTCAGCAGTTCCGGCCACAGAGCCAACCCCACTTATTTCAGAATCGCTCGATTTTCGTCCACCTGGTTCCAAGCCTAGTTTGCGTACCCAATCGACACCTCCGTGAGGACCGATTGTTAAATGATGACTGTAGTGATCTCCTGTGTTCGATGATTCTGGTTCGTTGTTTAACCACTCCCTTGATCTTCGACCTGTAATAACGAGTAACATGAAATAATATGATTCTTTGATTTATTTAAAGGATTTTAAAAACACTGATATTATAGGAAATACTCAAACCTCTCTCTCCTCCAGGTATTGAGCATCTAGGTGTATTGTGAATATCTCGAGTACTGCCAATATTATTTTCCGAAAGGAAAGAATTGCTGATCTCGCTGCTACTTCCAATACTACCGGGTGTTTCGGCTGTAAGCGATGGTGTCTCTGCAATCCTCGGTATGGATGCGGCACTTGGAGTAGATGGTCTGCTTGGTGTTTGGGTCGTTGATGCTAAAGTAGGTGTATCTGGTTGGCTGGGCACAGAGGTCTCTCCGGTAGGTTCGTCCAACAGGTTTTGCTCTTCGCTTTCTCCGTCTGCTGGACTCACCACGAATCTCCCTGAGTTTGAGCAAGATTAATAGCTAATAGGAGAAGGTCCAGGACTAATAAGACGAAATTGGGTAAATCCCACCGTCGCATAGTATGACTAAATCCCGAAAATGTGGAAAAACTATAGGAATATGCTTAGTGGATAGTTTATTTCAATTATTTTTGTTATAGATAAATACTTATGTACACCTGTAGTAAGTTATCAGTTGAAACGTAAGCTTCGAACGTATCGCATTTGTGACTCGCTATGCCCTGAAAATTACGGACTCTTTTAAAGCAAATATAATGCACTTAATATTTGTCAATATATAAATTTGAAACCTTCACCTGGCAATAAGTATAAATGTATTATGTTTCTCAAAATTTACATAAATAACAAGTGTGTAGTTGCTAATCAAGAGTATATGATTTCGTGTTATTCGTCGATTGGAATGAGAAAAATTTTATCAAACGAATTTAAAGTTACATATTGGATTGCATTGAGCGATTTGGTTAGGTTTAAATTATTTATTAAACCTTTACCTGATAAATAAAAAAAGAAAAACCTACCTTTATTTGCCTTAATAGCTTTCATCCACGATTTTGTAGACTAATGCACAACTGTACTTGTCAAAATCTTACAGTTTATCTACTATTTTATGTAATTACAAAAAAATATAATTACGAATGAATATAATACAAATTAATAAATAAATAATTCTAAAAAAGAACAATTCTTAACATTAAAAATTGTAATAAAAAATTTTGTTGTCTTTTTTAGTTACAATTACCTTGTATTTTGAGTACGCTATTATGTTTTTTAAAACAATAATATCAGATTTATAATCAGTGACTCCAACAATTACTATTAGGTGTTGAAATTAATTCGTAGCGTTTTTTTAATGGAAAAAAATATTTATTATCAATGGAAAATAAAAAAATACACTAATGAAAGTATTGCCCTTCGCTTTCTACTACTTTTGACCATCTTTCGGGCTGGATACGAATACCGTGTCGGAAGAACGCCTCGTCTTTTGATGCAATCCACGAATCGACCCATTTTTGACACTCTTCGTAAGAAGTGAACCTCTGCTCAGACAGATTATGAGTCATCGAACGAAACAAATGGTAATCTGAAGGAGTGATATCTGGAGAATACGGCGGGTGCGGTAGGACTTCCCATTTAAGTGTTTTTAGGTACGTTTGTACCGGTTTTGCGACGTGCGGTCGAGCATAGTCGTGCAGCAAAATAACTTTATCGTGCCTTTCGCTCTCGTCCGGCCGATTTTCTTTTAATGCACGACTCAGGCGCATCAGTTGTCATTGGTAACGATCCCTAGTGATAGTTTTATTTGGTTTTGATAGTTTATAATAAACCAAACCCAGTTAATCCCACCAAATACAAAGGAGGAGCTTGGCCCTCAAATATTACGTTTTACCACTTTTAAAATGTGCAAACCACTTCCGACAAGTTTGTTTAGTTAAAGCATAGTCACCATAAAAATCCGATGAATTTCTGCAGCCTTTTTATCCATATTAAAATAATGGAATAAAAATCCCCGCAAAAAAATTTTATTTGACACAAAATTCGATATATTGAAATAATTACAACTTGTTGTCATTAACAGTTAAAAATGAGATGTTTCGTAAAAAACACATCTAATAAGTGCTGAATTACGATAAAATTTATTTTTGAAGGTAAAAACAGAATAGTGTAATATTTACGTAATTTGTTGTAAAACGCTACGAATTAATTCCGACACCTAATAAATGTAGACTTTTGAAAGGATTTAATCACTTTTATATAATCCGGTACCCCCAAAACTTTTAATTGTACATTTAAAAAAAATTAATCTACAACTTCATATTTTTTTCACTCTTTCGAGATTTCGGAACACTGTGCGTCGTTTAGCTTAGACCTTCTCATGTATAAATATATATGTTACGGACAATGTATTACTGTTGGCATTGTATAGAATGTCCGGCCATTCTATAGAAAACTCAGAGAGGGTTTAATTTTAAATTTTTAAAATTTTTTTAAATTTAAAGCACACTTGGTTGAAGCGATTTCAAGTTATTGTAAGTGAAACAAACCATAGAAATTAAAAAATTGCCCTCTCACCGTTGTCTAAACATATCCCATTAAGGCACATTTTATAGATTGATTGAAACTTTCTGAGCATTCTATAGAATGATCGGGCAATCTGTCAAATACATGCTCATTATACACATTACCTGATTTATGTGGGTATTGTATACAATGTCCGTAATATATACATTACTCGTAATACGTATATAAGAGAGACATATATCTCTTCAACGTAAACATATATTTACCTATAATAGTAGATGGTTGTTGTTCAGGTGATGGTGTGGATGACAATCTTCTCACTGCCTCTCTTCTTAAGAATTCAACTTTAGCCATTTCCGTAGCAACCCAATGTGGTATATCCGGTATCGCACAGGTGATGATAAATCTGATTGCCAACATAATGTGTTCCAAAGCAACTATTAGCAAAATTGTTTGGGTCGCTGACATCTCTGGAAACATACGTTGTACTTGTCCACTTCTACCGATTAACGCGCAATTAACTAAAATTGCGACAAATCCCATAGCTTCCATAGCGTTCTGTAGAAAAGTATACATATATATAACGTGTTATGAAATCAATTAGAAAAAAAGGAGGATCGATTTACCTGCCAAGTGCCGATATTAGATACCCTACGCCCGAAAGGTCGTTGAAGCACGTAACACAACTTAAATGCGTCTCCACGTAATTCGATCAGGTTACCAAGTAATGCGGCTACGGCAGCTAAAGGAAACGCTGACGAGAAGAGACATACGTATCCTAATTGTGAGAGCATTTCCAAATGTTCAGAGAATGCTCGATCGTACTGTAAATAAAATGTCATTTTTTTACACAGGCATGTTTATCAGTAATAAAGCAACGTTTTGTATTTTCGCTATTGTAATATATTTTATATTGTGCGATTTTCTATTTATCTATCACATGCTCTTTTTGCGTGTAATTGGCGTTCTATTAACGAGCATGCATGGTACAATTTAATTCGCAGTAATGATATATTTAAGATAACCAATTATTTGTAACTACCTATGAAATATGTTTTTTCATACGTGATCATGTACTTAAGTCTTTCTATTATATTAGATTGAATAAAAAGTCCGTTAGCATTGACGGCGACTTGTTAATGTATAATATTTAGTTTGATACTTTTGCTTATTTTGACTACAACAGATATACGTATTTTATTAAGGACAGTTTAAAGATGTTTTGCGTTTAGTGTTAGTTATTTTCTTTGGTAGAAAGATATATATTGAAAATATATAAATACTCATGTATTAACCCATATAAATATTATATTATTTTTACTTACAAAATAATTTTGTTAGGAATTAGTTAGAGATAAATCGTGAATATATTACAATGGTGAAGATGTTAACTAATGTATAATTCAGAAGTGAATTAAAAGCTTCAATAGTGGAAATTTCAATGTGGAAGACAAAAAACTAAGTGAGGGAGATTAATGATGATGGAATTGTAAATTGTATCGAATAAAAACCAAGGAACACTAAAGAGATTTCAAACATTTAAGAAATTACACGACAATAAGTTTTGTTCCATTTGAAAGAGCTCGGAATGACGAATAAGTATGATATTTGGGTTTTGCATGAGTTAACGAGAAGAAATTACTTGAACGTATTTTAATTTGCAATTCATTATTAAACACAAAGTACAATTCTAAGTAAATACAAAAAAACATATTGTTGACATGAAGATCTCTCTTTTTCTTTTAAATTTGTTATTAGTGATGAAAAATGGATTGCTATTTATAATGTAAAACAAATGAAACATTAAATTACATCAAGAAAATAACCATTGACATCTAATTTTTATTTATTTTAAACATAGTAAAGATAGAAACTAAAAAATAATCAATAATTTTTTAAAAAGATAGAAAAAGCAAAAACATATGTATCTAAATTTTTTTACTGAATAAACATAACAACTTTATGAAAAAATTGGTGTTACTAAACAAATGGGCTAAGGCCATAAAACAAAATGATATACATATGTATTATTATATATGTGATATTAAAATAATAATAATACTTTATATTCTAGTGAAGAAACGTGAACGGATTTTTTATTTAACCTGATATTATAGTTCATGAAATGATTTCTTTTAAGCATTTTATGATGTATGCGATTTCCTAAAAAAATATCGTCAAGTTTCTGCTATTTATTAACAAATAAAAAGGAGAGAGAGGAAGTGATTGGTAGGAGAGTAACCGTTTTGACGGGTTTTCAAATTACAAGGAACTAACGTCCTAACGACCTTCGATACATTGTTACGATATATCAAAGATTTCAATATTTTCAAAGATCATGCATGTTTTGCGTTTGAATAGAATCGAATGACTATAGTTACTGCAGTATTCCTTTTCTTGCACGAGTTATCCGTTAGTGCGTTCTTAGGGGAACTCTGATTAGGTACATCGAAAATATAAAAAGGAATGAAGAAAGAAAAAAATGGCTAAATCTAAATCAAACCTTCAAAGTAACGTCACTAAGAAGAGAATTAGTGGTGTGTCCTACTCTGTAGAGAGAACTCTCCAACTCAGCTTGGCTAACGTTCCTCGGTTGTTTCGTCTTTCCACTTTCTGCTCGTTCATCTTTCTCATCGGAATTCTTTATTTTTTCGTCCTCCTCGTCCTTACCAGGTGGTAATCTTGCTTCGCTTGGACTCAGAGCCCCGAATAGCTCGAAACTCAATTGCGCTAGCCGTAGTTGCTCTATCAGATATGGTATTGCGGATTCTTTAAGATTTCCAATCACTTGCCGAGCTATTAGTAAAGCGGCCAGTTGCTAAAAAATAAAATATCAAACTTTTTCGCTAGTTATTTAGCTTTTTTTTCGTTTATTTTTCTTAATATCTTATGAATGTGATTAATCATTAACTCCTTATCCTACGATTTTAGTTTCCAATACTGCCATTTCATGATTCGGCTAAGTAAGCGTTCAAAGTTATGATAATCGCACACGTTTTATAAAATTGGAAGTCATAGTAACGAATCGCGTATAAACAACTGGAATGTGCTATGTGACTCGATTGTTATATCACGGCTTTTAACTGTGATTCTCATATCTGGTCAAGCTTTTTTACCACGAGTCTCACCCGTGATATTTATCTTTGGCTCATTTTTAGTTATCGCGAATCTCGCACGATGTTGTAGAGCAAGGGGTTAAATAAAAGATAATTTAACCATATGAGTAAAGAGGAGTGCGATTGCTTGTGAATTTCATTTCTGCGTATTGTAAAAAAAGATTTCGTGAAGTAGGTTTGATAATACCACTCTTGTAATGAAAAATATACATATTTTACTTTTTTTTATTATTCTTCCTATTACTAAAAATACCAATTTTTACTTTTCATTTTTATATACTTTTGGCAATAAATTCGAGGAACGCATCAACACGTGAACGATTAAAGTTGTATTACACTTGTTTATATGATGCTCAAAGTAATTGTGAGTTTAAGAAACTGCTATATAGTAAGTGATTATGTCATCTTGCATAGTTCACTATGGTTACTATTAATTAAATAAATAAGTATAAGGGTAAGTCAATAATTATCTGTAATGAAATGTTATTGTTGTTATGTCAATGTACTATCAAATGTCTTCGTATTAGAAATTGTGATTTTCCTCATATTATAATTGTAACTTACATTAGTAAAATTAATTAATTAGAGCTAGATCGGTCAAATTTTGTTTATCGTCACATAAACAATGGCTGTTTCGTTTTACAAAAGAAAAAACAGCAATCAGTAAGCAGTTTCTTATGGTCTGAAAATGTATCGGGGTCAAAAGTCATCGAAGATTTTCAGAACAGTATTAGGGTAATGATTAAAGGTTAATGATGAATTTTTTTTTTATTGTTAATGTTACGAGAAATCTATAGTAATGTGATTAACCATTTGACCTATTATGACGTAGATCCTACGATAACGGTAATATAGGATAACGGTATAAATATAGGTTTGTGCACGAGTATTGTGTTATGTTATCTTATATAATAGTAAATGTTTATTTACAAGGATTAAGAGAGAGTGAGTTCGAAGTTATCTACTAGTAATGAGAATAAAGTGAGAAAGAGAGAGGGTTTCTTACCTCCTTGAGTCTTTCTTGGTCTTGAAGATAGAAGGCGATGTAAAATAACGATAGGAAGGAGTTTACGAACTGAAACTGAAATGAATAGTTTTGTCTGTACACTCGCCATACTTAAGAATACATTATTATTTTTTTATATTTGGTTCTTTTCTGGTCAACCCTCTTATTTTTTTTTTTTAAATTTCACATACATATGTACACGCACGGACATACATATATTTATTGTTTGCATATGCATACGTATATACGTACGGAAATCACATATATATAACACGCAAAAATAGATATTTCTATGCATATTATTTTATAAGATTATAAAGTGAAACATTTAGTACTGATAAATGCTATTAGAAAAAAAGCGCAAGCAGAGAGCGAATTTTGAAGTAGGATTTTCATGCAGCGATAGTGGCAGCCACGACATAAGACATTTATTTAATTATCATAAGGAAAATAAAATGAAGGATCTAATCTTACTTTTTAAAAGGTCCACCTCTAAAATCACTACATAATTGTTTTTATTTATATTTTTGTTTTTCTTTTTTTCTGTAATCATCAAATCATATTCATCTGATTACACGTGCATTTTGATTATCATTAATACAATTATTATACTGTTGAAGACAATAATTATACATATCATATGATTTACTTATTGTTATTACTGGAGTATTATAGTTAATTTGCAATGATTTTAAAATTATTTTTCTTTTTCTTTTATTACCATGAAATCGTAAAAGGCTTAAGACATTCGAAGTTTAGAAACGATAAGACGTGTTTGAGAGAATCTCGTGAAATAATCTCCGATTTAGAGGAGGACAAAATTGACGATACTAATACAACATTCATAATTTGCGTTTGACTTGTCAAAAAATATCTCATTACCAGTGCCACCTTGTAGATCAGATGATTCTCGTACTCGGTGTCTAGTCGATAGTTTTCTGCGTCCAACACACAAAAATCAAAGATACTATCTACCATAGACTATTTAAGGCGTTCTCCAAAAGATATATATATATAAAAATAAAGTAATAAGATAATATAATAAACCCAACCCCTGAATAATTTTTAGAATTATTCTTAAAGATAATAGAGAAGAAGAATAGATACATATGTCGGAAGTGTATACACAATCGGAAAAAGAGACTAGCTTTTTAGTATCGTCTAGGGATATATCGTACTTTCTTGATCGTTCTTTCTAGATAGAAGCTAAGCTGTGAGAAGAGATTTAGAAGTAAATATGCTAGGCCTCTTAGCTAGACGTGCAGAAGTGTGTATATATATAATATATAATATATAATATATATAAAATATAAAATATATAATATATAATATATATAAAATATAAAATATATAATATATAATATATATAAAAAAATTTATATATATATGGTATATATAAGTACCCGTGGATATAATAAGAAAGATTATTGTGAGACAATCGATAAGACCTTGATCGATCGTTTAATATTCTTATAGATCGGCCGCATTCGTAACGGGACGATTACGATTAAAAGATACGTAGTTTAATACGTTTTTCTCTTTTTAATTTTATCTTCATATACATACCCAAATCATTCAACCAGACTGCAACTTTGAAGTATGCTTCATCCATTAAGGCTATTACAACGGCCAGTAATACTTTTGGCACGTAACTCAGCCAAAATCCGTAACCTCCGGCTTCAAGACGTGCATCCCACCAATCCTATAATTGTAGAAAAACCATGACGATTTTGATTAATTGGTGAAACAACGATGGTAATTAGATTACTTCCGTTGTTTACGAATTTATACAGAATCTTTCGAATAAATGTACACATTCTTCATTAATCGCTATAGCATAATAAAGTAACATCCTAAATAGTGGCAAAATGATGATGAGAAAGTATTGATTGAGGAATGTAAGATCATTTTAATATTTCAAATATGAGAACATTCATAACTGTTTGAGTGACAGTATATCAGATTGGAAAGTAAAATTGCAGTATCGGTGCATTAGCAAAATCAGCAAAATCGGTGTATGTTCTTATAGTATAACAGAGCGCTATCGTGCTGCTCAGCATTTTCCAATACGAAATGAGAAAGCGCTATCACACCGTATGGTATTTTTTGATCAGATTTTCACAAAGACTGTGACACTCAAATGGTTAACATTCAACGACAATGTAAGTGTCACGGTCGCGTCAGGGTTTCCAGCACTACCTCCTTTATTTATTTAACATGTGCAGACTTTTATTTATGGAGGATCCTAAAGGATTTTGTATATTATAGAAAACTGACTATTTTGGGGGTCTTAAGCCTTTTGCACGAGGAATATTAACACAGGTAACGCGAAAATTTATTCTAGCAATTTGAAATTTCGGAACAGCTGGTATGAATATTTTTTAACATTTTTTCAACGAATTAATATATAAATGATAAATTTTAATGTTTTATATTTTCAATTGTAAAGTTATTTTAAAATTTTCACAGTAAATTATATTTTTAATTATCGTGTTTGATGTAGAAAATATGAAAATAATTCTCAAATGCAAAGATTTAGAGAAAAAATTAAAAATATATAAATGTAACAATCTCACTGGATACTTTAGTTAACGTTACCCAAGCAGTAGTTTGACGTATACATGAAAATCTGGAAGCTAATGGCCACTACTTTGTGAACATTTCGTAATTGTAGAGGTCAAAAGTTATTTTTAATAAATTTAATATTAAGATATTCATATCATCTCTTTTTTCCTACAGTGTGCATAAACTTTTTTGGTGGATTTTTTATAGGAATTTACTGACAATAATAATATTGTATTTTACCTGTATTTGGAAGCTCAGGATCATAACGACGAAGACGAAAAATAGACAAACGGCGATGATAGGTACGCTGACAAAATATCGGAAAACATTTCTTCGCCATCTGGGATAAGTTGGTTCCAGTCTTCCCGTGACAGGTGATATTTCTAAAGTCCCCTATCAAATGATATGTCATTCGATAAACGACATATTTATTATTTGCTTTCATTGATATGTATAGCCAACTCATTATTATTGATCAAAATTTTTACCGTAAAGAGAGGTCTAGGTTCGACTAATAAGTCATCTCTTTGATCTAATGTACCCCATCTGTAGGCCAATTCAGCTCCTCTTCGTTTCCAAGTTTCCAGGTAAACTGTCGCCCAAATTACATTGAAGACTGAGAAAAGCACGTATGCCACGTCCTCCACCGCTTGGTTCCTACCGATGATGCCGACCTTAATAAAGGTTAAATAATTAATGAAATCAATACTTGTGTTTTTTCTTCGTCAATATAACGGCACTTGTTACCTTTTATTTTACTTATAATTAATAATTTTTGTGATAATGATCTAATGATCATCTACATTCGGTATAAAGTTGAAAAATATATATAATATAGTGGGATATGAAGTTAGTGTGTATGATGAGCTGAGATAAGTTAACAATAAGTATATTCGAAAACAATAAACGAAAGAAAAGAGCGTTGTATGTGTATGTATTCTTAAATGAGTGGTTGTACGCAGTTCATCGATAAGATTATTATATGCATGTGCTAGCCTGAGTGTACGTGTCAAAAAAAAAGGAAGGAAAGAATGTATTAGTGAGTGAATTGGGATGATCGAAAAGTAGTGTGAGACAAATGAGCGACGAGAGAGTATATTTAGAGATTTTATTTTATATTTCAATAAATCAAATACTACAATATTTACCCAGTATATGACACCCACAGCAGCGGGAACGATCAAAGCGGTGGTATAGTGTCCGAGCCATGCGAAGTACATGCTGATTTTCACTCCAAAATATTTACAGATTTCGTCCAATGGTTGGGGACTAAAAAATGCACGAACCCACGTCTTTCGTAATTGTTCTAGTGCCGGTAGTTCATGTAATGGGAAGACCTGTGCATTGGAGTTTTTAATCAAATATAACGCATCAATATAAATGAAAATAAAAATGGGAATACGTTTTTATATTGACCTGTGAGATAATGCTTGCCGAGATACATTTTGGAATTATGGCTTGTCCTTCCACTAATTTTAATCCTGATAAACTGTGAAGATCCTGAGGACCTGCTCTTAACGTATGAAGTAAGTGTAATACCAGAGACTGTCTTTCTTGAGTAGTAAAAAAATGAGCTTCGTCGTCGCTTCCTTCGAAGCAGCTCGCTTCCGAACCTACGAATTCCTTCAATCCTCCGCCATATTCTTGGCGTAGAGCCTTTGGCAAGTGTACTTCCTCTGCTGCTTTCAACAAACTACAAGATTTGTTTTCTTAATACCGATGCATTTTTCGTGCAAGGGAAGAATACTCGATCAGATAAGAGATATTCAAAAGGAATAGTTTTGAGAAATCATATATGTTCAGTAATTATGACTATGGAATAATATAAGTTAAAAAATAGAAAAAATGAATTATTTATACTATAAAGTAAATTATAGTTATAATTTATTTACTTTTATACTTTTATTTTTTCGATTCAGTCTGCTGTCATATATCAGAATGTATAAAGTGTTACTCAAGTGACACAGAAGATAGGAAACAAATTTTACTGCATAAAATCCAAGGTTAAAGTGTCAGGACAAGTATAACGTTTCCTGAAGATTCTAACGAGTCCGATGTTGAACGGACAATAAGACAGCTTACTACGTACTTACACGCTAAAAGGTGCCGTTAAGTAAAATCCGTAACTATCTGAGGAGGCATGATGCCTGACGTGAACCACTAGGCCAGGGGTTCCAGCCCGAAGTCGACCTAAAAGCCACATTAAAGTTTCGTCGCTTGCACCGTTTGGAAACATCATCACGACGTCACATTTCTAAAACATAGAGGAACATCAAAAAGGTATTAGTTCTTGATCACTTTCTTAGTCCAATTTTGTAATTCATTCCGTCATTTATTATTACGATACTTTTGAATGATAACACACACGTTTTCTTTATAGTGTAGCCACGATAACTGTGAATGATTCTAACTTTGATATGGTACATCGCTTTGAACCGCGGATGTTGTCAAAGGGTTACGACTTTTTCGTGGTCTGGCTGTCATCCAAATTCATAGAACAGTAGCAGGTTGCTTGATATTGGCATATATCTATTAACTAATACATACAATAATACTTTTTACATAACGTTGATGAATACCGTACCGATTGCATGTATAAGCATGCTCAAATACTCATCTATTCGTTGAAACTTTTTACCTTTTCTTTTCTTTTTTTTTTCTTCCTTTCCTCTTATCATCCGTTATTTTATCAATGTCTGCACGTAAAAGTCACTCACATGAGTAAATAGAAAGTCTTGTTGAAGTTACTCAAAATCAATACGAAAGCGTTTTCTTAATAATGAAAACAACTGGACTAGGCATTTTGCGCGAAGCAACAACAACGATGAATAAGGTTGGTTGGCTTAGTGTGATAAAGCAGCCCTTCGTATTCATTAGGAAGTTAACAAACACGTAACACGTTTGCGATTATCAGTTAACTAGGCAACCATTAATGCCTCGAACAATAACTTTTCATAATTTATAGGGTATGAATAACGAACGGGCACAATTCATGATCCCTTCCTTACAATATGCTATTATATTATATTATATTATATCTTTTTTTTCTTTTGTAGCTATTCAGTATTAAGCATATTTAGCGTATTTTGTCATATCACGAGTTTGCACGACTTATCATTAATATGTATGACTATCAAATAATATGTTCTTCGAATTTTTAAGAAATATTTAAGAATACGATGATGATAACAAGTAGAATATTTTCTTATTTTGTTTACGTATATTTTTTATACGAACCTGAGTTGGTACTTTTTGTATCCAAAGGCGGCGGGGGGTCATCAAGTGGCCAGTACATGGTATCTTACGTCTCAATAAACGTGATGCTAAGAAAAGAGACAAACATGAATCAATATTGCAGTAATGGAAGGACTCTAGTGTGAATTTATTTTTAAATACCAAATGGAAGATACTAAAATAAAATTAGATTTATTACGCTGTTACTGAACACTTATAAATATAAGTACCACACACGTATACACATACATATTTACCCGTGCATGTTGGAAACCTTAAAAGACGGTCTTATATTTCTATTAAAGTCAATGTACTTGTTACATTCCTTGTTGCTCGGCAAACGACCTCAAAAGATATTCTATACAAAGCGTTATTCGTTGATTTCGCGTGAATAAAACGTGTCTTGCTTGGGAACCACGCAAGCTTCTTAGCTGTTATCAATTAACAAGTAGCGTGATAAAAGAAGAGAAAGGGATAAAAGAAAGTAACTTCTTTATTTTCAAAAGCCCTATTCTTGTTGCATAAATGCTCTAGGTCTAAAGATCAAAATTGCTTGAAAAGAATATAAAGGCGAGAGAATTTTAGTGTTTGGTGTAAAACGGAATGTCAATGTGCATTCACCCTTTTGCTTAAGTTGATAGTTATATATTACCTTATAATTATGCAATGTGAAATATTATGCACGTTTTTTTTTCGGTTACAGCACAATAATACATTTCACCAAATGTTATTCACGATATCTACTTACCAATGCACCATAAAACACGTTCACAATAGTCAAAAATCTACTTCAAATTCGTAGATATAAATGCGTGTAATGTAAAACGCGTAATACAAATATGCAAAAAGGAATAAAATAAAAGAAAAAAGAAAGATATGAAAAGAATAAAAAAGAGATGGAGAAAAACTAGATAAAAAGAGGAAGAGGAAGAGGAAAGAGAGAGAGAGAGAGAGAGAGAAGCAAGGCAAGTTGTTTAGGTGGGGGGAGCGACGATCGAAACACGATGGGGGGTTGGTGGGTGGTAAGAAGGGATAGAGGGGGTGTATGCAGGGTGTGCGTGTTTCACGTAGAGAATCAAAGTAACGATTCTCAACCAAGCGGAAATGATTGTAGAGAGAGTCGGAGATTCACCTTTTCTAGGACATATAGAAAATCCTAGATGCAGAGAAATTAGGGTAACGTTCTGGAAGATAGAAAATAATGAAAGTACGAATGTGGTGGTACTTCATTACAATTAGATTTTATCAATGAACATAACGCACAATTAAATTTAGAAAGACAAGATGAAAAAAGGGTTAAGAGAGAAAATAAAAATGTTTCAATAAACTCACCCTTGTCTAATGTTTCTTTAGCCGCGTGTATGACCTTCCTCCGTCTAAGTCCCTCACCGGCCGGGACAGTCGTCATCGTTGATGAACTCGCGTCCTTTTCGGTAATAGTCGCGTTTCCACTAGTGATTTCAGCCTCGTCATCGCTCTTCGGACACTGAGCCGACGTTGTACCGCTAGGGGTTGTCGACGTTCCGTGGTGGTCGAGGAGTTTTATCGGGGACCCCTCGCCGCCTGGCATAATGTCCCGATTGGGCAGGACTGTCGTCCTTAACCGAGAACTCCTGCGCCTGAACTGGACTGATACCCCACCGACTTTACCTTTACCCTACCCAACATAGTTTCTCTCTCTTTCTCACTCTCACTCTCTCTCTTTCTCTTTCCCTTCCTTGTTTTCCAGTCGCTACCGTCGATGTCGACGTCGACAACGACTACGTCCTCTTTTGCGTAGTCGCGCCATCTGCACGGATGTCGTCGCACTCTCTCCCTCCTCACCTCTCCCACCTCCACCATCCCTCTCACCTGCACTCTCCTATCTCACTCTCTTTTTCCCTCTTATCTTCTCTCTTTCTATTTATCCTCTTCCCGATCGATGAATCTCATCTTTTCCCGAAAGGGGTGGTCTCTATAGGACAAGGACGTATACCACCTCTTGCAAGTTGTTCGTCCCATTCACGGCCAATCCTCGGTACGATGGACTCATATCAGATTTTCACCCTTTCTCTCCATGGACAGATCTACGTATTCTTGTGCTCTCTTGGTACTTTATCTTTTTTCCTTTTTTGGAATATAATTGAAAGTGACGAGTACACGAATATAAGGTGGCGAGTCGACGCGTTCAAACGATCGATTTCTTTTCTCACTTTCTTTTATCTCTCCTCTCTTTCTATCTCTTTTTCTCTTTTCTTTTCCGTCTCTTCAAATGAATATTACGTCATCGGTTTGTATATTTATATACTTACGGTGTTAGATTATAAGAAAGGTGAAATATATGTACATTAATTGTGGTAGTCTATTGCGCGTCGTTATTTTAGTTTTATTTTTGTTTCTAAATAGGAAATGGTGGGAAGATGGATGTGGAAGATAGGTGAAAAGTGTAATTATCACATCTACGCGTGTTTTTTCGTATTTTATTAAAATATTTATGACGCTTAATTTACACGCGTAACTATAGGAGACAGTAAATAATTAAATTAAATACATTTTCCAACACACAACGGTGCGTAGGAATGATCGTGTTCAAGGTTGCTACAACTTCTTTTCTTTTTTTATTTTTTTTTCGTATACTCTTATCCCGTTTAACAATACTTACATGTATAATGGAAACACTTAATATAGGGAATTTCGCAGGATTCCGACGAATGCAATTAACTAAATCCTTTATACATTTTTACATCATATTTTTTATATCGTTTTGGTGTTATTGCTCACAATTAACTATTTTACGAGCAGACCATTCGTCGTATGATGCAATGAAATTCTTCATCTATATTAGTAGTAAGATATTTGATCGCATTTATAAGATTTTTATACATTCTATGGATTTATGTGTAGTTATTTATGTTTTCATCATATTCCTTTTCTATGATTATCACTTCGGCAACCGAGAAAAGTGGTGTCGACGAAAGCAAGCTTCTTTCCTAGGTTTTCAAATAAATATGAAACATTAATTGTGCGATGTTCATCGAATGCATCCCTCAATTGTAAAAGAAGACGTTTCTGCATTTGTTGAACTTCGCAGTAAGAAACCTACATTGAAGTTAATTAAATTTCTCAATGATCCTTTGACTTATTTCATCTCAAACGTATTTCTCGGTCTGGTTTGGTCATTACACATCTTCCTCTGTAGCAAATCTCGGTCATGTGCGAGACCTTTGTTGTCGTCGACGTTCTCAGCACTTTACCAAGTATCGTTTCTGTTGTGTTGTGTTGACTGATCTCCGATGTCGTTGGTATTGTCGGTTTTGTTGTCGTCGTTGTCGTTGTAGTTGTCGTGATCAGACTCGTTGGTGTCACGGTCACCATAGATTCATCTTTGGATAGGATATCATGCATTGTGGTATCAAATATAACTGTTGGATTAGAATGATAACCTGACGTAACTGAATTATCATCAATATTTTGAACAACGATCGTAGTTGGAGTTTCTTCTTTCTCCAATTTCGTCGTGGAACGATCTTCGACTTGACTTATCTCTTTTTTAACACTAATAGTACTATCTTCCAGTGGGGAATTCGTTTTAACGTTATTGTCTTCGCTTGAATTCTCCGAGGTACCGACCTTATTATTTTTCTCCTTGTTCAATGATTTCTCATCGAACCTCTCCTTATTATTTTCTTTGGTTCCCTTCAGATCGTCGAATACAGTTGGTACGTAATCCGAGAGAATTTTAATTTCGGTATCTTTTTCTTCTTTATTCGCTGTATCCTTTGTTGATATTTTACTCCAATCAGCTGTTTTCTTATTTTTATCGTAATTCCAAGTTGAAAAGAGCGAATGGTTTAAGGCTATTGAAGGATCTGATGGATATCTCACCTCGCTCCATTTAGCACGGTGATTCTTTAGATAAGAGATATCGTCGTTGTCCCTTGACTCCTCGGTCTTTGTATTATCAACAATAGAAGAATCCTCTATTGTAGTATCGATTGGTTTTATTGTTGTTGTTTCTAACTTGTCCGTGATCGGTGTAGTTTCTAAAGCGGTATGGATAGAGTTTAAATCATTTAAAGTTGTTTGGGAATTATTGAAATCATTGGAAGTTGTTTCTGTTTCTTGACTTGTTGGTAATTGAATATTTTCTGTGGAATCCTTCGTGATCGAATCTTTGGGATAGATGCGTGTACCGTAATACTGAGTAGTAGCTCTTAAACTTTCTTCAGGGTCACGTGTTCCTTCCAATTCTTCCGATGTAGTAGGTATATTGGTAGTAATACGTGAAAATTTGTAGTTTGTTGTTTTTTCTTCTTCTTCTTCTTCGATCGAAGATGTTATTGGTGTTGATGTTTGCCAAACATTTAAAGGTAATACCGTACTAGTTGATGTTGCCAATACTGGAACTTCATCAGTTTTCAACATTTCTTCAAGAAAATCTTGTAACACGGATCGTCTCGAACCGTCATTGGTTGATCTCGTAATACTAAATTCACCTAGATTAGGCCTTGTCTGCCGAATCGGATTGTATTTGTATTGATCGTGCGTTAGACTGTTAACAGCAGCGTTGATATGTTGAGATTCAGCCGTTACGAAATCATCGACGATTGGCCTAACTCGTACTCGTACTCTTTTCCTTCTATTAGTCTGCACAAAAAGTTATGATAAGATAATGAATAATAATTTAATAGCATTAATTAAACATTTGAATAAAGAATATTGTTTACCTTTCTGACTGCAACAGGATTCGTAGTTTTCTTTGGTATTTTCTCACCGTCTTCGTTATCCGTAGGTTCCCTTGACAAATTATCTTCCTTCGATCTCCACTTATCATCATCATCATCAACATTTTCGTTCAAACTTACTTTTTGCTGACGTTTCATTGGATTTTCTGTATGATCGCGTGCTATCATTTTTTGTCCAAATACCGTCGTGGCCTTTATCATGGACTCTTCTTCGCTCATTATCGATTTTGTTTCATCGCTATTCTCTAATTCCGAGGAAACCACGTACGTTACTGAATTTTCAGGACGAACCGTAATAATATCAGTTACTTCTTTAACATTTCCATCTTTCGTATGAGCCTCCTTGAATTCATCGGTAGCATAATTAGCTGCAAAGCTTGGTTGAAAAGAGGTTCGAGATAATTTGGTAGACCATTGACTTTCGGCTCCGTAAATGTCAGCAGGCATTACTTGTGAATCGCTCAATATCGTTGATTTTGAATGTGTTGAATGATCATACTTTTGAGGAGTGTTACTTGCCAGTTGAGTTTGATCGTATTCCTCTTGTTGTAATTGTGTTTGGGGAGATACCACTCCAAAGTTCAATACAAAGTCCTGTGGTGGATACTGAAATATGAATTTTATCTTTATTTTATTTATTTAATACTGGATTACATTTAATTCTATACAGTATATATGAGTCCCTACAGAGCGAGTTCCTATAACGAGCTAAAAATATTGCGACTATTGCTTTCATAATTTATTTTAAATAATATTTATTTATATTATAAAATAAATTATAGAATCAATTTATTCGCTTTTTTAACTTACAATTAATTCATTATCATAATTACATTGTTACATTACATTGTTGTTTTCATGAAATAATCATAAATTATCTTCAGAAACATTCCAATTTTCTATGATGTGAGTTTATATGTCATACAAATCGTATAATACGGGAACGTTTACTTTACTTACATTTTCCGTGGCTGGTTTATAATTTTGATCCGGTTGATAAGTTTCGCCAAATTGAGATAGACTTCCAAAATTTTCATCGTAAAGAGTTTGCTGTTCTCTGATTGCTGCTGGATGTGATGGAAGTACACGTGGATAATTTCCCTCCAATGGTACTTCGTTATTTGCATCAAAACCGGATTCCGTTGTGCTAGTTGTTGTTACGCGTTTCCTTCCTCCAGGTCGACGAGTTCTGCTGCGACTTCTATTCTGTTTGATATCTTCTGGTTTATATTTTGGTCTTACCGTGTATACCGAATTATCGGGATTTAATGTTGCCGGTGGTATATTTTCCGTTGTGGTCGTTGTAATTGGCGTTGTAATAGGCAGTATTGTTGATTTAATTAATGGTCGTCGATTTGTCGTGTGATATTTCGGACGATTTTTTAAAGAATGACTTGGAGGTGGATCGTATTCTATTTCAATCTCTTGAGCACTGCCAGAAGGCTGCTGCTGTATCTGTAATATGAAGTTTTTATTAATTGTTATTAGAATATTGCAAAATGCAACCGATCGTCTATGATCATATCTCATTAATAATTTTCTTTACAGATAGTTTTCTTAATACTGACATTGAGTCTAATATTTAATAGTAAATATAAATTATTATATGTTGATTATCGTTATATTTTTATTATTTATTAATAGTCTATTTTACTGCAAATACATTAGATAATAAGTTTAAATTGAATACTTTTTAATGTTTTTATTATTATTATTATTTTTTTTTTTATTTTATTAATTCTCTTCGATAGGAAGGGCACTTGCCAGGTCTGACAGCTTTAATTTCCTGAATTTAGGAAGGCTCTGGTTATGTTACATGTTTTTAATATAACCGCCTTTTGTATTTCTTGGTGTATATTTGGGTCTAGTTGTAGTTGTGTGAGATGTGGTTTAAAATTATTCGGTGTAATGCCTGTTGCTCATATGATGAAAGGGATGATGTATCCTTTTTTTTTGTTTCCATATTCTGTGTATTTCTTGTGCAAGTGGTGTGTATTTTTCTATTTTTTCTCTGTATTTCTGTGTGATGTTGATGTCGTTTGGTACTGAGATATCTATTAGGTATGTTGTCTTGTCTTCTTTGTTTGTAAATGTGATGTCAGGTCTGTTGTATTTTACTGTTTTGTCTGTGTGTAATGTTGTGTCCCAGTATAGTTTGTACTTTTCGTTATCTATTATTGTTGTTGGTGTGTATTTGTAGTATGGTGTTGTAGTGTTCTCCAGTTTGTATTTGTTCACTATTGCTTTATGTATGATTTTTGCTGCCGTGTTGTGTCTTTCCGTGTATTCGGTGTTTGCTAGTATTTTATAACCCCCTGTAATGTGTTCTATTGTTTCGGCTACTAATTTACATTTCCGGCATTTATCATCTTGTATGTTTGTATCTTTTATTATGTATTTGAGGTAGTTTTTTGTTGAGATTACCTGATCTTGGATTGCGATTAGGAATCCTTCGGTTTCTGGGAAGAGGTTTCCTTTTTTAGCCATTCGTATGTGTCGTTTTTGTTTAATTTTCGTCTGTAGTGGTGTAATAGTGTTTTCCGTGTAATTGTTTTGTGGCCCATGCGTTTATTTTGCTTTGTGTATGGTCTATGTTGTTATAGTTATCTATAGCTGTGTTGCTTGTCGATAGGTTTAGTGGTGTGTAATTTTTGTCGGCTTTCGTTACTGCTTCATTCATGTAGTTGTGTTTCTTTTGTGTGGAAGTATTTGCGGAGTTTTTTTATTTGTCTATTGTGTAACGCTTTTATGTCCGTTATTCCCCTTCCACCTTATTCTCTACTTATTGTTAATCTCTCTACACATGATTTCGGGTGTAGTTTCGTGACTTTGTCATGTGTGTTCTTGTTATTCTATTAGTGTCATCTAAGTCTGTGTTTGACCAATTGATGATTCCGAAGGAATATGTAAGGACTGATATTGCGTATGTGTTTATTGCTTTGACGAGATTTTTTGAATTTAGTTTGGTTTTAAGTATTTTTATGAATCTTTGTTTGTATTGTTTTTCTAAGTATTTTTTAATTTCTGTATGGTTTATCTTAGTATTTTGTTCGAAGCCGAGGTATTTGTATGTTTCGTGTTTTTCTAAGTTTTGTAGTGTTTCGTTCTATAATGTTCTTTGTGTATCGTCTGTGATCCATTGTCCTCTTTCGAAATGTGTTGTCTTATATTTGTCTATTCCGAATTGCATTTTTATGTCAGATGTGAAATTTTCTGTGATTCTTAAAAGCGTATTTAATTGTGTTCCTGTTGCTGCATATAGTATGTCATCTACATACATTAAGTGGTTTATTGTGTACTGCGTTTGTCTATTATTTCTGATTTGATATCCATATTTAGTTTTGTTCAATATTGTAGATAATGAGTTTAGGGACTTGTTGAACCATAAGGAACTTAATGTATCTCCTTGAAAGATGCCCTTTTTGATTTTTATTTCTTCCGTTTTTATGGTATCCGTTGGTGTTTTTAATATAATTCTGGTTCTCCATGTTGACATGGTGTGTTTCAGGAATTGTCGTGTGCGTTTATTTACTTTGTATATTTTCAAAATTTCTAATAGCCATGTATGTGGTACTGAATCAAAGGCTTTCTTGCAATCAATATAACATGTGTGTAGGTTTCGTTGCTGCTTTCTTGCTTGGTTCATTATTATACTATCTATGATGAGTTGTTCTTTACATCTTTGGCTATTTCTTCTGCATCCTTTTTGTTCTTCTGAAATTATATTGTTTTTTGTGAGGTGTGTATCGATTTGCCGACATATTGTACTTGTTATTATTTTGTATAATGTTGGTAGACACGTAATTGGTCTATTTTTCGGTGTTTTGATTTCTGGGTTTTGTGAAAGTGATTCCTTCGGTTAGGAAACTCGGGAGTTCTCGGGGATCTTCTATTATTTTATTTATCTGCTGTGTTAGGTATGGGTGTGTAGTTGTAAATTTCTTGTACCAGTAGTTTTGTATGTGATCTGGTCCTGGGTGTTTCCAGTTATGTTTGCTGCGTATTGTTTTTCTTAACTCGTCTTCTGTTATTTTGTATTCGGCTTGTTCTGGCATGTCTTCATATTTCTGTTTCTCGTCTGTTATCCATGTTGCATGTGTGTTGTGTTCTGTTGTATTTGACCATATTTGTGTGAAAGAAAGTGGTTATTTCTTTTTCAGTTGGTTATATGGGTCCTATTTCTTGTTCTATGTTTAGTTATCTGTAGAATGTTCTTTCACTGTTTAGGAATGTTCTGTTTTCGATTTTCCTCTTATATGATTCGTTATATCTTTTGAGTCTTGCTGCATATATGGCAAGTTTTTGTTTGAGTGTGTCCAGCAGCTGGTTAACTGTGTAATTGTTGTTATTTATGTCCATGAGTGTGTTGATGTATTTTGTTATGTTTTTTGACGTATTACCTTTCATTGCCTGTGTTAGTCTACCTATGTCTTTCCTTATGGTGTGTATTTTTTGTTCTAGTCGGATTTACCATTTTGGTTTTTTATGTTTATTTATGGTTTTTTGTTGGTTGTTTGGTGTCTCTTCTGGTATTTTTTGTTTATTCTGTTGTGGTATTATTATTATTATTATTATTAATATTATTAATTGGCATTAGGAACTCGAAAGTTCATTGCCGCAAATACCAAATCCCGCCATTGTTCCCGTCCMTRARCGCGATCCTTCCATTCGCGGTCTTCGTATCTTATTTCTTTCAGGTCCCTTCTAACATTATCCTTTCATCTACGTCTCGGTCTATCTAGTGGTCTTTTCCCATTTGGTATACCGACCAATATTTTGTGCGCTGTTCGACCAGCGATCGTGCGCCTCCCCCATGCGCGCCACGTGACCAGCCCATCTTAATCAGCGTGATTTTACGACGTGATAATGTCTGGTTTGTTGTACAATCGATGTACTTCAACCTTATGAAGTTTTCTCCATTCGCCCATTTCCTCATCGCGTTTTGCACCGAAGATTTTATGAAGAACTTTGTTTTCGGTTTTTCTTTTTCTTACTAATAAAAAGTATAATATAATAAAACATAAATCTTTTTCATAATCTCATTTTTTGTTATTATAACTATTTACAAATAGCACTTATAATAAAGGTACGATTTACACTATATATGTTATAAAATAATTTAGAAGAAATGAATTTGTTCATGTGAAAATATTTTTAAACATGCAATAATAAATATCTCTGTTAAGTTATATAATATTAATTTACGTGAACATATATATCAAATGAATAGTTTAATTAGTACGATTTTGGCAACTTTCCCAAAGAATATCAACAGAATATTACTTGAAATTTCATACAATCGACATTACTTGAAGAAAAACGCGTTAAATTTCGTAATAATGCAATATCTTTTAGAAAATGATACTCTGAAAAAGTAGGCACAAGGATTGTGTGTTTATATCTATATTTGAAGTGAGGAAAATTTCTAATAATAGTATACCTTTTTTTTTTTAAACGGATAACGCATTGGATAAGTATTATAACTGATAAGAGAAGATATTGTAAAAAAGAAACTTACGGGTAAATTGTTTACTTGTGGAAGTATTGGCTTGAAAGTAACAGGTGGTGCGTGGAATCGATTGTCTACCGGATTCACTGGTCGGAAGCTAGGAGGTCTTATAAAGCCATAATCAATATCTTCTTCTAATGGTTGTTCGGTAGTCGTGGTTGTCGTAGTCCTCGGCGTGGTCGTCGTAGTTGTCGTTGTCATTATCGCGATTGTTGTTGATGGCGTAGTTTGCTGTACAAAAGGCCGTTGTCTTTGCGTACCAGCCTGAATCTTCACATACTCGTAACCGCTTGTTTTGACTTGACTTTGTGGTCGAGATCTCGATTTTGTTCTGTGGCGATGTACATTAGACGACCTTGGAGAATCTTGATGATTGACAGCACTGAAACGCACGTACTCATCTTGCGACTCTTTTGGACGAGTTTGGATGACTGAATCAGAATGCGTACGGGTACCAACACGACCGCGAACACGTTGTCGTATTACAACTGGAGTTGATTCCGTTGTTGTACTGGTTTGCGTTACCATCTTTACAGATATAAAATATCTTTGTTATTAATGTTTTTCATAGAGAAAGGAAATAAATCATGTAATTTATTGGGAATCAAGGTAATTGGATTAAAGAGAAGGGAGACATTTTCTCGGCATTTGCGTCACTACCTCTATTTATACTTACTTCATCTTCTTTCACGATATTAAAAATTTATATTAGATATGTAGAGTGTATCAGGAAAGGTAATACAACTCGGCTAGGGATGATTTTACATTTAAGGGATAACACCACTATAGAGCCTGAAAAAGCCCACTAGAAGCCTTTTTTTTTGTGAAAACTAAATGAGGAATAGAATTTCTTTTCTGAGGGTTGGTTAATCATATATTGAACTATGCAAACAAATATTTTTATTGATTTTAGATAAAAAATGGCGTCGGTATTCGTGGCTGAACTAAACCCTGTTTTTTTTTTTTGGTAAAACGGGCGGACTCATACTTGAACAACTATAAGCCCTAGAATAAAAAATAAAAGAAATTCTTAATCTATGTACTATTATCTTGAAAAGTACATACGGATTTTTCTCTAAGTCAAATTTTGTGAAAATGGCGCAACTTTGAATAAAAAAATCGACTTTTCGACAAAAAAAATGTAGAAATTGTTTATAAAAAAAAAGTTTTTATTTAGTTAAAAATCGGATATGTACTTCTGTAGAAAATATAACTATCAAACTATCTTCAAAATTTCAAGTCAATCGGTTTAATGATGGTCGAGTTCTATGTCCGCCCAGTTTTAAAAATGTAGTTTCGAGAAAAACGTGTTTAAAGTTTTGTTATCACGACTCGAAGCACTTTAAGGCACTTCGTAAAAATAAAATTTTGCCATGTTAAACATTTTTTTTTGCTTCGGGACCAAGTGCATAATGTTTTTAGATGTCTAAAATGCACTTTAAGCTAAAAAACAAAAAATCGATTTTTTGATAATTCTATAGTGGTGTTACCTCTTAAAGATAAATCGTAAAGAGAGAGTAACATTTTTCATTTGAAGTTTCGCTTCTTAGATAATCGAGTTTGAAAATTCTGTAAAACACGCGTATATTGAACTATTTTCAGGTTTGGGTGTAGGGTAATAAATAAAAAATGTATATACATATATATAAATATATATATAAATATATATATATATATATTAGGGTGGGTCAAAAAAATGAATTATTTTTTTGTTTACAAGTGCCACGGAAAAATGGGTTGCTAGAAACCTTAAAAAAATTTTTACCAAATATGAGCTCTTAATTTCAATAGGAAAATCCTCCGCATCGCAGTTTTTTATTTTTTTTTCAGTCTAATAGATTAAAATTCATACCTCATTATTTATTGATTGTACAGAAAAATGTTCTAGACGAATTTTGTAGGAAATTTAATGCTCTACAAAAAAGGTATCTTATATTTTTTCCGTAAACCTCACCATTTGACTCACCATAATTATTTTTCCTTTAAAAGGTTATTAAGAAAAAAGAGAAAAAAAGACAAATGTTATGTGCCTATATTCAGACAATGTAAAATTATATGATGTGAAGTAAGTGGTGATCTTATGTTA